GGAGGGAGGGAGGGAGGGAGGGAGGGAGGGAGGGAGGAAGGAAAGAAGAAAGAAAGAAAGAAAGAAAGAAAGAAAGAAAGAAAGAAAGAAAGAGCGAGCAGAGGTGTTTCAGGAAGCTCCAAACCATGTTATGAATGCAAAGGAATTTGGTCATTAACAAGCTCTCCTTTCTGAACTCTGTGCTCAGGGTTGTACTTGGTTTGCTGACACGCCAGGAGCCCTGCATATTCATTCTCTCTCTCTCTCTCCCTCTCTCTCTCTCTCTCTCTCTCTCCTTTATCCAGAAGTTCATTCTTTCTATTTGCCACCTTTCTGCCAAGCAACACTAACACCCTCATCTGGGAATCATTGCCTCTGCATTTCCCCCTCCTGATGCCAGAGTGGCTGTTGACAATGTGTAGCCAGGCAAGGCCGGGCCCCCCTGCCTCTCACTGTCAGATGCCATGCACGCACGCTGCTTCCGTCAGAACAATGAGCATTCACCCCGGCTTTACTCGGGAAGACCTGCGGTGAGTGGTCGGTGTAAATTATAGATGTGTCTGTCCAGCTGGACTTGCTCATTCATGCAGAGATTGGGGGAATTTCATTCTTCTCAGTGCCTAACAGTCCCTAACACATCTGCACTTACACAATATAATCTAGTCCATTTTTCATCGATGTTATTGTGCCCCTGCACTCACACGTTTCGTCTAAGAGGCATTTGAAGTTGACTGGGGGGCGTTTCTGGCTTATGCCCGCCCCCTTTCCCGGGAAAATCTGTTATCTTTATGAATCAGTAGGAAATATGGACATTTAACCCAAAATAAACACAGTACGATTTCTTTTCGTGTGTGTGTGTGTGTGTGTGTGTGTGTGTGTGTGTGTGATACTTGCGTTCAAGTTTATTGTCAAAGACACATCCTTTCCTCTGCGGGCAGGGCCCTTCCATGCCTTTCAGCAAAGCAACGTGGAAATAAACAAAGTGGACTATTAATACTCTCTGCTCCAAATGGGCCTTTGATTGTTTACTTTGTTCCATATTTGTTTTAATGAGCAGCTGGAGGAAATGCCAGGGCATGCTGCTCGATACCATAAAAGACTCTGTATCATTGCTTGAAACATATTAGCTTAATTGACTCCCTTCACTACAGCTGGGAGGGTCTGTATTGGAGAGGGCTATTTACTTGCTTCCATAAAAGTCTCTGGGTACACATACACCACTGGGCATTTTTCCCGAAACTAAATGAATCACGGCGGAACAGAGCCATAAACAGCCAGCGTGGCGGAGAAACTCAGGGCCCTCGCGCAGATCCCACTGCAGTGGCCCTGAAGCAGCCTTTCCAGGAAACAGGCTGCCTTTCCCCTGCGCTTTCTGCCAGATAGAGGTCGATACCGGCTTAACCTCTGGCTTTGTTTTGCTCTGGGTCCCAAATGGGGCCCCAACATGATGGGAAGAATAGGCACACTCCCTAGGAACCAATCGCAGGGAACCCCACAAAGCGTCCCAGGTGGTGGCAACCCCATGTCAGCGGCCCAGGGTAGGTTTCGCTGTGGGTGCAACCTCTCTCCCTGGGAAAGAAATATCCAGCCGTGGTCTCCCACGCCTGGAATCGGGAGGCTCCACATCCTGGTACCACGAAGCAACGAGGAAGACAAGAGGAAGGTTCCTGAACATGAAGCCCCTTGTGTGTGGAGGTTTTTTTGTTTGTTTGTTTTTCTGCATAAGAAGAAAATAAGCTGGGGTATCTTCAGAGCCCTACGCCCCAATTTACTTCACCACTGTTCTTCCTCCTCCTCTCTTTTCCTTTTGAAACATCATGTTGCTTTCCTCTAATCCCAGACAGCAAAGCCGAGAGGGAGGCCTGCAGGCCCTGTGCACGCATTGATACCGCAGAGATCTTATAAATCAGCTGAAAATCAATACATACTATGTGGTAGTTTCTCCTTTGCAACCAGATCGCCAGGGGACAGAGCTAATGCTTTTTCTCCACCACCATCCCCATTTTTCTGTCGTAAAAAAAAAAAAAAACCTGCTTGGGAACGAATGGGCAATCTAAGATGCTGAGTAAGGGTTTCAACTACCTAATTTTATTACGTTACAATTGACATACCTTCCCTCTGGAAATGTTTGCAATTAATTAATTAGCCGTAATCTTCCCCCAGGGACTAATTTAATGAATTCTCTCCAATTCTCACTTTAAAAAAAAAAAAGGCTTAGATGTATCCAAGCTGCAAATGTGTGGATGGCTCCAAAGTGCATTTGGAAAAATCAAGGGATCTATCTATTACGGGGCATTTTTATCACTAAATCAATCAGGCGATAACCATCATTCTTTTTCTAACGAGGGGAGCTTCCCCGGGTTGAAGGCAAGGTTTCTCCTGGCTCAAGGCCTTCGCTGGGCTTGCTCACGTTTAGAAAGGAGCTTGTCCTGTTTGTCTCCGGGG